GGTCCGCCCCACTTGCGCCCCCTTCACTCTCTCCTCCTCATTTCTCCCAGTTTTATTGAGATATCATTGACATACAGCACTGTATACGTTTAAGGTGTGCAGCATAATGATCTGACTTACACATCGTGGAGTGATTATCACAGTAAGTTTAGTGAACGTCCGTCATCTCACACAGACAGAACATTAAATAGAAAAAAAATGTTTTCATTGTGGTGAGAACTCAGGATTTACTCTTAACAGCTCTCATACACATCACGTGTAACCTACAGCAGTGTTAATTATATTTGTCATGTTGTACATTACATTCCTAATACTTATTTATCTAATAAAGGGAAGTCTGTACGTTTTGACCGTCTCATCCGATCCCCCTGCTTCTGGTAATGACAAACCTGACCTCCTTTTCTCTGAGTCTGTTCTGCGGTGTGAGTGACAGGCTTACACGCTGTTAATTCCTGTTACTTCACTCTTCTCTGAAGTCGTCTTCTTTTCCAGATAAATGCCCAGCAAGTCACTTGAAACTCAACAGCAAAGTGACCTGCACACCGCAGCCTGCCTTGAAGACACCACTACCGCCTGTCTCCCAGATGCCCAAGGCCCCAGAGACCCAGCAGATGCAGGGTAGGCCCTGTATCTCCAAGTTCAAAGTGAAGGGCTAGAGCAGGCAATGTCGTTTCTGCCTGGTGGTCACTTTGCTACTCCCGGCCCCTCCCGCCCCGGAAGTGAGGGGCAGGAAGGCTCGGGACAGGCCAGAACCGAGGCGCTTCTGCTCGGTCTCCCTCGGCAGCAGCAAAGCCTGCGGCACCCCCATGAGTGGCCTCACGCTCCCGGCCCCCAGCCTCCACTTCAACCTCTTCCCGGAACTTGTGGGCAGGCCCGGGGCCTCCGCACGCGCTGCAGCTTCTCTCCTGCCCCCATGCGCCTGGCCACTGCGCGATGCTCAGTAAAGGTGACATCGGAATTCTCTGCTCTGCTGCCATTTATCAATATCACGGAACTTCTAAAGACTCGGCTGTGGTCTTTACTCACCTGCCTGGGCCTCTTCCCGTCTTCTGACACGAGCGTGACTGAACGCAAAGGAGACTGAGGAGCCATCTGGTATTTCGAGCAATCCTATCACCCGGGGGCACGTGTGTTCACTATTTTTTTTAATTTTATTTATTTATTTTAAAAAATTAATTTACTTACTTATTTTTGGCTGCGTTGGATCTTCATTGCTGCACACGGGCTTTCTCTAGTTGCGGCGAGCGGGGGCTACTCTTCGTTGTGGTGCGTGGGCTTCTCATTGCGGTGGCTTCTCTTGTCGTGGTGCATGGGCTCTGGGCACGCAGGATTCGGTAGTTGTGGCTCGCAGGCTCTAGAGCACAGGCTCAGTACTACTGGCACACAGGCTCAGTAGTTGTGGCTCGTGGGCTCTAGAGTGCAGGCTCAGTAGTTGTGGCACACGGGCCTTGTTGCTCTGCGGCATGTGGGATCTTCCCGGACTAGGGTTTGAACCTGTGTCCCCTGCACTGGTGGGCAGATTCCTAACCGCTCCGTCACCAGGGAAGAAGTCTGTATTTGTTTTTATTATTATTATTTCTTTTTTGCGGTACACGGGCCTCTTGCTGCTGTGGCCTCTCCCATTGCAGAGCACAGGCTCCGGACGCGCAGGCTCAGCGGCCATGGCTCACGGGCCCAGCCACTCCACAGCATGTGGGATCTTCCCAGACCGGGGCACGAACCCGTGAGTCTTAACCACTGGACCGCCAGAGAAGTCCCTGTGGTCCCTTTTTTATTTTTTTTATTTTTTTTATTTTTTTTTTCTTGCGTTATGCGGGCCTCTCACTGTTGTGGCCTCTCCCATTTGTGGAGCACAGGCTCCGGACGCGCAGGCTCAGTGGCCATGGCTCACGGGCCCAGCCGCTCCGCGGCATGTGGGATCTTCCCGAAACGGGGCACGAACCTGCGTCTCCTGCATCAGCAGGCGGACTCTCAAGCACTGCGCCACCAGGGAAGCCCTCCGTATTTGTTTTTAAACAGATGCTTTATTGAGATACAATCCACAGACCGGGAAGCCGCCTCTCAGAGGCCGTGTGTGGCTGTGCCATCCCCCTGGGTCCCGTGCGAAGCCTCGACTGAAACGTGAGCGGGTTCAGTACGCAGAGTGTGTTTACAGCCCCGAGAGGTCCGGGCTGGTGCGACCCGAGTCCTGGTCCGCGTGCTCTCCCGTAAGCTGCCCACTCTGCCCCATGACGTCCACTCGGGCGACAGCGAGCACGCGAGACGCCAGGACTCATGGCGGTTATACTGCCAACACAAGGAGCTGCGATTCACTCCCATTAAGGCTCTGTCAACACGTGACTTTTGGAAACGAGGCTTTCTCAGAGACGGCGGTCAGTGCTCTGAAGCCCATTTCCTGGACACTCGTCTCACACGCGCAGTGACTAATCGTCAAGTACAGCCGCGATGACCTCGCAGCGCATCCTCCGGTCTCTGTGATGCCTCGCGGGGAACAGCTACTTAGCAGCCGGCCGTTCACCCCAACAGTGAGGGACTCAGGGCCACCTCTCCCACGCAGGGTGGTGGCTCACGCTGCTAGAAGAACTGAATTCCTGAAGGTACCTCAAGGCTGATCCCCAACTTACAGCCTAACGCGTGGCAGACACCACCCCATCAGTTCCGGGGGAGCGTATACAGTCTCACTGGAGACTTGCTTCCAGAAAGACCACCCGACAGGGGGCTGACCTTGTGCCCCCTGGAAGGTCTCAGGCCTGGGCCAGAGCCTTGTGTCCAGGGGGCCGGGCCCAGGGCAGCAGCGTGCTTGGGGACCGAGGCTCTCTCAGCTGAGGAATCCCCGTCTCCTGCTCGTGCGTCTGGCAACCGGTGCTCAGGATGTTTCCAGAAAGGAGGCGGCTCCCCCACCACAAGGGTGGAGCCCCGAGCCCCGAGCCCCAGCCTAGGCTGCCTTCTGCCTCTGCTCCTCCTGCGGGGGTGGCGGAAGGCAAGGGTTGACAGGCGCCACCCACCTCTCACTCCTTGCGGCTGGCCCCGCTCTCCACTGCCGAGGGCAGAGACGCCCCACCCCCAGGCCCGCTCGGAAAGCCAGTGCGGTGCCGGACCCCTCCGGGCCGTGGGCCCCCCTGCCGTCTCCTCCCTCCACCTCGGCTGTCCCAAGACGAGCCCCCGCGGCACCTCACCCTGACGGCCCTCTCCAGCTGGGACAGGGCCTCCTGGTACCGTGGGACCAGCGGCTGCAGCAGCTCACTGGGGACGTCATGCCGCTCCAGGCTGGGCACCCCGCCTTCCCTGAGCATCCGGACAAACCTCCTCTCCTGCGGGGAAGGAGCACGTGAGGGGAAGAGGCTCCCGCCCCGCCGGGACCCCCAGGGCGAGCCCGAGCCCCACCTCCTGCTGAGACCGCCAGGCTGACCTGCACCTCGAGGAGCAGCGTGAAGGCCCGTCCTGATTTTCCGGCGCGGGCGGTTCTTCCAACCCTGAAACGGAGCACATCCTCCTCCAGAGCTGTGGCCCCCCAGCCTGAGGGCTGTTGGGACCAGGCTTTCTCCACAGGCCACCCCCTCCCTAGACCCAAGGCCAGTCCCGCACCGGTGCACGTAGGTCCGCAGGTACTGGGGGGCGTCGTAGTTCACCACCAGCTGCACGCCCTGCACGTCGATGCCGCGGGCCGTAGCGTCCGTGCTGATGAGGCTGGCGGGACACGAGGGGCCGCGGGCCCTGCCTGAGGCCGAGAGCAGGGACACACGCCCCTTCCCACCCTGCTGGGGACGCCACCACGGAGCTGGGGAGGGCCCGAGGTGCCCTTCAGGAGCCCAGGCTGACGCCGGAGCGAGCGCCCTCCCCGGAGCAGGCCCCCGGGCTGTCTTCCCAGGGACTCACAGCTGGATCTCGCCCTGCCGAAACCGCTTCAAGATCAGCTTCCTAGCGCCAGGCCCGTGGAGAGAGGAGAAGTCGGCCGCGCGCGCGCCCCCGAAAGCCTGGACCAGCAGGAAGAGCCTGGCGGGAGGGGCCCGAGCCGGGTGGGCCGCGGGAAGCACCTCCTCTCCCCTCCAGCCCCCGCACCACGCGGGCCTCACCTGTGCGAGTTCTCACGGGAGTTGGTGAAACACAGAACCTTTGAGAGATTCATCTCCAGGATCAGGTGCAGGACGACCAACGGCTTGAGGCGGACGCTGCAGGGCACGTAGCAATGCTGCGCGGGACGGCGCGAGGTTGGCCACAGCCCGGTGCCTAGACGCGCCCCCTCCCCGCTCCGAGTGTCCTGCTCACCGTGAGCCCCGCAGGGAAGGTGTACTTCCCGCCCAAGTCCCCGGCCACGTCCACGTCGGAGTCTCTGAGGCCCCCGTGCACCGACCCCGTGGAAAAGAGCCGGGGCCGGTAGAGGCCAAGCTGCTGCAGCTTTTCGGGGTTCTGGGTCAGAGTGGCTGAGAAGAGTAGTTTCTGCAGGGGCATCTGGGGGCAGCAGACGCTGGAAGGAGAGGGGACGCTGGGAAAGCAGCACAGCCCAACCAACCCGCCCCAGCCTGGTGGGAGAGTGTCTCAGACGGGGGCCGGCGGAGGGGGCCAGCTCAGGGCGGCCACACTGGGCGCAGAGCAGAGTGCAGGACCCGGTACCTGGCTGCGGTCACAGCCCGGGGCTGCGTTCTCCGGAGCAGAGCAAAGGGATCCCTAGTGCCCTCACTGGGAAAGGCCGCGGCCACCACCCGCGGCAGCCAGGACTGGTGCATGCTGTCTATCACGCGGTCGGCCTCATCGATGACCTGCGGGGCCGGGGGTGCCGCGGTCAGCCTCGGGTCTGGGCCAGGGCCTCCCTCCACGTGGGCCACCTACCAGGAAGCGGAGATGCTGGAGGCTGAATCCTGGGGTCTGCTCGACGTGGTCCACCAGGCGGCCAGGGGTGGCCACCACGATGTCTGCCAGGCAGCGGAAGCCGTCTGCTCTGTGGAGCAGAGAGTGGCTCAGGAGGGCCACCCTGCACTGACCGCCCCCCGCGACGTGGGGACCCTGTGGACGGCAGTGCTCCGCTCCCTGGGGCCAGATGGCTACGACGCGGCTGCACAGAGCGAGCCCACCTCTCGGAGGAGCCCACAGACCGGAGGGACCTACGTGTCCTGCACGAGACTCTCCTGCTCCTTGGCCAGTGACTTCTGCCCGGTGACCAGGGCGACCCGAAGAGGAGTGGCATCTGTGTAGATGCTGAACACTTTGCTCACCTGGAGGAAAAGCAGCCATCACCAGCGCGACCTGAGGCCCTGCGCCGCAGTGACGAAGCCCCTGGGTCTGACCTCCAGGCACGGGCTCACGTACCTGCTGGGCCAGCTCCTTGGTCGGCAGCACAACCAGGGCCCGAACCTGGCACACGGCTCGCCGTAGCAGGGCCTGCGGTGTAGACAGCCGCCCGCGTCAGCCCGCCCCCCACGTCTGCCCGCGCCCACGTCAGCCGCTCCTGCCTGCAGACCCGCCTGGAGAGCGAGGGCTCCCTGCGCTCACCTGCACCACGGGGATGACGAAGGCCAGCGTCTTCCCACTGCCCGTTGGGGCAGACACACAGAGATCGCTAGGCCGGTAGCCGCCTCTGCTTACCAGGAACCCGTTGGCTGCGCTCTCCAGGACAGCGGGAATCACTGCTGCCTGCACTGGACAAAGAACGGCGAGACGCATGTCACGTCGGTGCAGGGACACCCAGTACTAGCACAGGCACCGGAGACGGCCGCCTCCCTGCCTGTGACCTCTGGGCTGGGCTCTCGCTCAAGGTCTGCACCAGAGCCTCCCGGAGTGCTGAGAGGCTGGAGGTGCTGAGGCCAGGACCACACCTGCCACTGGACATGTGCACAGGCTGCCTGTGTGGGCAGCTGCTGAGCGATGGCCTTGCATGGTTCTGGGAGAAGATGCTCTGGAAGGAAACCCTGCTCCCACCCCCACCCCACCCCACCTGCGCAGGGCAGGGGCACCTGGAAAGTAGGACGATATGCCCTGAGCCCGCAGCCTCTTCTGCAGGTCCGGGTGGACTTCCGGGATATCCTCAATAGACACCAGGCCTTCGGTGACACTCTTTCCAATGCAGCTTGGGTCAGCCCGCC